GCAACAAATGCTGGCGAGGTTGGGGAGAAACTGGAACCCTGATTCACTGTTGGTGGGAATGTAAAATGGTGCAACCACTGTGGAAGGAGGTATGGCGCTTTCTCAAAAAGTTGCAAATAGAGATACCATTTGACCCAGCAATTCCACTACTGGGAATACCCCAAAGAGACCATAACTTCCACCTAAGCAGATACATGCACACCCATGTTTATTGTGGCTTTGTTCACAATAGCAAGGAGTTGGAAACAACCTAAGTGCCCATCAACAAACAAACGGATAGAGAAGTTGTGGTATATTTACACAATGGAATACTACACTGCATTGAAAAACAATAGTATTCAAAATGAGTGACCCTGGAAGACATTATGCTGAGTTAAATATCTCTGTCACAAAGGACAAAACAGCATGGTGCCACTGTTGTTAAACAAGACTGACATTGAGGTTGGGGGGAGACTGAGAAAGATGGGTTAAATAATGTACACTGCATTGAAACAGAGGAGGGAGAAAATTGTTTAAAAGGGATATGTGATTAGGTTATTTTTGTCATGACAGGAGTCCAGAGAGAAGGCTGCATAGTGGAGTGGACCTGGGGGGACGGACTGTAAAACAAAGAAAGAATTTTTCTTTTACTTTTCCAAGAGGGTAGTGTTCTAGGTGGGAGGGTTGAGAGGGGAGAAAAGTGCAACAATGAATGAATGGAAATCCAAAGTCTCTGTAAATTTTCATTGACATTAATAAGAAATTTAAAAAAAATAACAAAAAAGTAAGTAAGAATGAAATAGTATTGAAAGTATTAGTTGATGGTTAGGGGGAAATCATGGCATTGAAAAGATTGGTGGGTGGTGGGAAGGGGTGAAAAAAACCTAAACCAATCTACATAAGTGAAAAAATACCATTTAATGAAAAAAAAAAGTATTAGTTGAAAAGAGCAAGGGCAGTTCCCCAGACTCCTTTATCTTCAATTTACAATGTTCTCCCTCAAATTTTAACAGTGAAGTTTTACAAGCAACCAGTAGAGGGTGCCACTCACAAGCTCATCAGACTGCATTAAATGGCATTAAATTCAGTCAGGCTCTGTTTATCCCAGGTTAAATGCTTTGTTTTATTCTCTGTCAACTGTTGGGCCTAGGAAACACCCATTGCCATCAAGCTTCATCCTTAAGTATCTGAACAATATGCTTTTGCCTGGGAACAATTTGCTCAAAGAGGGGAAACTTACCCAGGATTCAGAGAATCAAGTAAAAAGGCTCAATGTAGCGGACGAATAAGGAAACATTTTATAAAGAGTCATTACTACCTGTATCTGACTAATAGTGACCCTCTTTGGGCTTCTGATACTAAAAGTCTTTACAGGAGGAAATTTTTTAAGTTTCTCCCTCAGAACAGCTGGTGAATTTGAACTGCCAATCTTTGGATTAGCGGAACAACCCCATACACCTATTACAGCTCCTGTGAACCATAATCCAGCTCCACAACAACTCAGGGCTTTTGAGATGGAGCCAACTGAAGACTGATCCTTCATCAAGTTTTCAAAGGATATAAATCGGAGCCCCTGGTGGATCCAAACTGCTGGAGATGCCTTTGGGTAGCATAACATCTGATTTTTATATACTAGTTTGTATATAAAGAATCAAGAGCTCATTGCAGTCAATACTGTTCACCTTCCTCTTCATGGATTTAATTGTGACACCACCACCCTGACTCCCCAAATATGTGTGATAAATCCTAACCGCTACACGGGTGGTTACAGAGGTCTGGTGACACAGCTGATGGCAAGTTGGACTGCTAACTCAAAGAGTAAACACCCCTGGCAGTTCAAATCCACCAGGAAAACATGGACAGTGCCTCCTGTAAAAGTCAGAAATCTGATTACCATTATATCATTAATATTACATACAAGTAAATTTTTGCTGAAGATTATGAAAAATAGACAGGGAACCACCAGAAATTCAAACTGGATTCAGAAAAGGCCACTGTATGAAGAGAATCACTGCTGATGTCAAGTGGATTTTCGCTGAAAGCAGAGAATACTAGAAAGATGTTTACTTGTGTTTTCTTGACTATACAAATGCATTTCACTTTGTATATCATAACAAATTATTGAGAAGAATAGAAATTCAGAATACTTAATTGTATTCGTGCAAAGCAAAAAGAACAAGGGAACACTGTATAGTTTAAAATGAGAAAGATGTGTATCAGGGTTGCATCATTTCTCCATACCTGTTCAATTTTTTTCCCTCTTTATTTCTCTAGTTTATATTGGTTTGCTCACAAAGTTCATAATAATACCTATTCAATTTTATGCTAGATAAATCATTAAAGAAACTGGACAATATGAAGAAGAATGTGGATTGGGAATGTGAATCAGGATTGGAGGAATTCTCAATAACAACTTGCATTATGCAGAAGACACAGTTTGTCTTGCAGAAAGTGAAGAGGACTTGAAACACTTGTAGAAAATCAAGGGCTATAGCCTTCAATATGGATTAGAATTCAGCATCAAATAGACAAAAATACTCACCAGTGGACCAAAGGTAACAGTATGATAGATTGAGAAAAGATTGAAGCTGACAATGATTTAATTTTACTTGGATCCACAATTACCAGTCAGCATAACAGTAGTAAAGATTTTTTTTAAAGTGTTTTGGGAAAATTTGTTGTCAAGGACCTTTCCAAAGTGCTAAGGAGCAATTATCTCCATTTAAAGACTAGTGTGCATCTGATCCAAGCCATGATGTTTTCAATTACTTCCTAGGCATCTGAGAGTAGGACAACAAATAAGAAAGGCTGGAAAAGAATTGATGACTTTGAATTGTAGTGTTGGGGAAGAGTACTGAATATCCCAGGGACTGCCAAAAGAACAAACAAGTCTGTTTTGGAGGAAGTGCAACCAAGTACTCCTCAGAAGCAAGAATGGTGAAATTTGGTTTCAAATACTTTCGATATGTCAGGAGAAGCCAGTCCATGAAAAAAAGACATGATTCTGGGAAAGGTGATGGTCAGAAAGAGAGAATAAAATCCTCAACAATGTGCTTGAACATATCAGAGATATGAGGCTGGCACAACAGTCAAGATTCAGATCTGTTGTTCATGAGGTTGACTTGATGTCACATAACAATGACATGAGTCAGAACCAACTCTAAGGTGTGCACTTGATTGCTGTGGCTAAAATCTCATTTGAGAATGTGTTGTGTTTTTCATGTTGATGAAGCAGGATTGATATATAATGTGCCTCCAGTCAATCTCTTTTAGGATCTAAAAATTACTAACCAGCAATGTGGCAAGCAGAAAGGGGATTCTGGTGGCGTAGTCTGTAGAGAGTTGCACTGCTAATGCAAAGGCCACTTCTTTGTGGTTTAAATCCACCAGAACCTTTGCAGGAGGAAGATGGCCAACTTTCTCCAGGGTGATTTACAGTGTCAGGAACCCTATACAGCACCAGCTATAACTTGGTTCTAACTCAATGGCAACAAGAGAGTTGTTGTTGTTGTTGTTATGTGCCGTCGAGTAGCCTGCGACTCATAGCGACCCTATGTACAACAGCCCTAAACTCCGCTCTGTCCTGTGCCAATCGCACTGTCTCTGACACTCCCATCCCAATTATCCCAGTCACTGAATCAATCCACCTCATAGAGGGCCTTCCTCTCCTGCGCTGTCCCTCCACCCTCCCAAGCATGATGTCCCTCTAAGGACCGGTCTCTCCTCACAACATGAGAGAGGGAGATAAAAAAGATACCAAGACCTATAAGGTTACATAGGAGAAGAAGCTCAGAGACAAGGACCAGAGCCATTAAGAGCGAAAACCTTCCCTAGAGCTTCAGACCCTAAATCAGACTTCCAGTGCCCCCTCTCTCAACTATGAGAAAGTAAACCAACATTTGTTCAAGCTACTTGTGATATTTCTGTTATAGCAGCACTATAGAATGAAGAAAACCCCCCCAATACCATCATGTGTCTCCCCCAACCCCAAGACAGTGAAGCCCAAGTTGCACAGGACCTCTGGCCATAGTTTTTCTAGCATCCTGTGTCATCAGGGAATAGGTGTTCATTTCAAGGGTGTTTAACATCAGAATTGGCTTTAATCCAATTTTTAAGATTTCTTGATTGTTTGAATTTAGATTTCTAGATGTGATACCATCATTTATGCAAACAAAATGCATGAAAGGAAACAGAAAAAAGTTCAATCCAAATAGCAAAGAAGGAAATAATAAGAAAAATTTTGATACATTTCACTTTGGAGGCCAGTTGGTATTTCTTGCTAACACTGATGATTTGCCCCTCCATCTCCACCTGTGCCGTGTCCATTCCTGTCCTCTGCACAAGGTCTTGAGGCTGGAGGAAGGTGGACATATTCATGTGCACTAATGCCCACACACACTCACATAGTCTGTTGAGTTCTTGGGTAATGCTTACCAGAATCACTCATTAAACTGCTCTTGCCTGCTCAGCATCTGGCAACAGGAAGAAATTATAGCAGCCTGCTCTTTCAAGTGGATATTCTCTGGAAATATTATATTTCCTTTTCCTACTGCCCTGATTGCACTGTCAAAATTGGCCTCGATTGGCCTTTAAGACAAGGACATTTCACTTATAGAGGAGTTTGAAATTACAGAATGAAAAATACATCTTATATGCCTAAAGAGACTATCCACTGATAAATTGAGGTATAAGATGTTAACCCTCTAATATATTGAGGTATAAGATGTCAACATGTGAAATATTTTTCCAGTCAAATCTCCTTTTCTTTATAGATAAGAAAAATGAGAATCAAAGAGATAGCATAACCTGCCCAAAGCCACACAACACAATTCCTTGTCCCTCATTTATCCACAGGGTTGGATTTCCAAAGAGAAAAGGATTATGGGATGGCCTACTAGTGTTTTGGGAGGATGGGAGGCAGCAGAGTCCAAGGAAGAAGACAAAGCTGGGGTTTCTACAGGGGGCAGACAGCCACTGAGGCTGGGAGGAGCTGCCTGCTGCTCTGGAGCTCTGGTACTTACTCCTTCTCCGAGTTGTTGCAGGCATTGATGTTGTTTCTGGCACTGCAGGGAGGTAGACAAAACACAGCATTGGGGAAGCTGAACTCACAGAGCTGGAAGGGGCTGGCCTTACTGTGGTCCCTGCAGACCTACTTGTGGAAAATCATTGTCACTAGAGCCAATGACCAAGGATTGCTTCACTGACTCCACGTGTTCCATCTCAGTGAATATTTCCTCAGATGCTGTTTTGGCCCCTTCTGCTGGCTTTGCCAAATCTATCCTTCCTTATTCAAAATGTGGCTGTAAAGCTAATTGGTTTTGATTATCTGAAAAATTCCCTGAGGGCTAGAATCCCTATGATGTGTTGGACATCATAGGGATTTTGAAGATGGGACTTTGCCTCAAATAATTCAAAACTTTCCTTTCCCACAAAATCCTCCCTGATTGATCAGCTCCCATCCTGCACCATCATGGTGCATCCACCACCCAGAACCTTCTAGGGAGTGACCAGGTATCTGTGACATAGTCAGGGGAGCCTGGTTCAACTCTGCTCACCTTGTCATATTTGAAAATGCACAGAGTAGCTAATGTTTATTTCCTTTAGTGTAATGCTATAAAGAAGATAAAGTAATGTTTTCAAAGAAATCTTTCTTGCCCCAAAGAAATAGAATAGACTTCTGGGAAGTCTGGCCAAGAACCTTTCCTCTCCCTCAGCCCCTTCCTTCCTCCTCTCTTCCCTCTTCTTTGTTTTTCTTCTCTCTTGTCATTGTTATCATCTGTCTTTCTGTCAAAGCAATGAGCAGGATGCAAACATCACAGTCTGAGAAGCTGGTCCTGGGCTCTTAGGATGATCCTGAATGCATCAGGACCAACACCCAGCCTGGGCATAGAGGACTGACCCCTCAGGCCCTCCTTGGTCTCCTTCCCACAGCTACTACCTGTGCACCACCTCCTGCTCTCCTACACACCAGCTCCTGCTCCTGCACTTTAACTAAATTGGAATATATTTTGTTGTTGTTGTTGTTATGTGCCATCGAGTCTTTTCCGACTCATAGCGACCCTATGCACAACAGCCCTAAACCCTGGTCTATCCTGCGCCAACCGCACCGCCTCTGACACACCCATCCCGATTACCCCAGTCACCGAATCAATCCATCTCATGGAGGGTCTTCCCCTCCTGCGTTGTCCCTCAACCCTCCCAAGCATGATGTCCCTCTCCAAGGACCCGTCCCTCCTGGCAACATGTCCAAAGTATGTCAGACGAAGCCCCAGAATCCTTGCCTCCAAGGAGTAGCTTGGTTTAATCCTCTCCAAGATAAATCTGTTTGTTTTCCTGGTAGTCCAGGGTACATTCAGTACCCTTCTCCAGCACCACAGCTCAAAAGCATCCACTCTCCTTCTGTCCTCCCTAGTCATTGCCCAACTCTCTGATGCATAACAAGCGATTGCAAATACCATGGCCTGTATCAGGCGCACCTTAGTCTCCAGAGAGACACTGTTGCTCCTGAGTACCTTAGAGAGGTCCCTAAGAGCAGACTTTCCCATCGCAATACGCTTTTTGATTTCCTGACTGCTGGTGCCAAGAGTGTTGACTGTGGAGCCGAGCAAACTGAAGCTGTGAACACTCTCAATCTCTTCGTCATCCATCCTGATGCTGCCAATTGGTCCAGTGGCGAGAATCTTTGTCTTCTTGACATTGAGCCTTAGTCCATACTGAAGGCTGGAGTCCTTGACCCTTCGGAGTAAGTGCATGAGGTCCTCCTCAGTTTCAGCAAGCAGGGTTGTGTCATCTGCATACCCTCTTAAAAAATCTGATCAACATGCAGACCTCTTTCCAGAAAAAGGTATGTTTAATTATACACAGAAATGTAGGCACCTGTAGATGCTCCTTAAAGCTGAGAGTAGTCAAGCCCCTATTTTTGAACATGAGAATTATGGAATGAAAGTCCTTTCATGGTGAGAGGTTGGCAGACCAGCATCCTGAGATCCACGTCTCAGATTAATAAATCCAGATGGTGCTAACAGCCACATAGGAAAGGGTTAGTGAGTTTGGGGACTCTGGTTAAAGGGTCTCCTCTTGTTCAGGGTTCCTGGCCAGGAACCTTCTTCAAGAAACAGCTCCTGAGGATTGTGCCAACTTGTACCCAGTCATGCTGGGGAATCAGAGCTGGACCAACAAGAGCTTCCCATCCCATCTTGTGCAGATGACTCCTCTCCTGTTAGATTTCTTACCTTTTCTCTCTGCCTGGTGGATCCTGACTGTCTCCACTGGATTGGGCATTGCTTTCTTGGCTAGACACTTCCTTGAGCTCAGCTCCCTGGAAACGATCCAGAAAAGAGTCTGGTCTCTGGTTCTCCTGGTGCGCATGCCTGGCTGCCCACGCTTGCAGGGAGATGATGAGTCGTGATAACCTGGGAGAACAACAGACAGGCAATGAGTATAAAGAAGGAGAAGAAAACTCTTTCCTGAGGGCTGGGAGAGAAGCTGAATTGGCTACCAGAACACAGGCAATGGGGTCACAGTGGGCTCTGCCAGGGACCTGCAGCTTTCCATTGGTTTTCACTCCTGAGGACCATGTGCACTGGAGCAGACCTGTGCTCCTTAGGGTTTCCAGTGGTTGCCTTCTCAGAAGTAGATCACCAGGCATTTCTTTTGTACCTCTAGGTGAACTTAAACCTTCAGCCTTTCAGCCAGTAGACCAATGCCTTAAAGGTTTGTGAAAAACAAACAAGAAAAACTCTTTGCTCCTGAGTCAGAACCAATTCAGCACTGACTGGCCATTGATTTGCGAGGTTGTAAATCTTACAGGAGCTCTAATGGTTTAGTGATAAGCAATTTCGCTGCCAATACAGTTATATGGTTCCAGTCCACCAGCTGCTCTGTGAGAAAAAGATGAGCAATCTCTTTCTGTGTGATTTACTCCCTCTGAAAGTCCACTGAACCTATTCTGACTTGACAGCACATAACAATAAATCACAAAGGAGGAGATTGCTGCTACTGGATTCAAACAGCCAGAGAAGAATGGCGTTTGAGTTAGCATTGAAACTCCCTACTGATTTGATCATCAGTTTCTAAAGAAAGAGAGAGGGCTGGAGTGAAAGGTGGCTTATTTTTTCCTCTGTGTACCCCTCAGTCTACTAAGAGGTAGACATACATTTATTCTGGGTTTAGTTTTTCAGTACTTGGATGATATTGTTATTGTGTACCACTGAGTAGGAATCAACCCATAGCTGACCCTTCGGCAGGTTTTCAGAGGCAGTTAAGCTCACGGGAAGAGATTGCTCATCTTTCTCCCATAGCTGATGGATTTGAGCTATGTACCTTTGCATTACATAGGGTTTTCAGAGGCCTGCTATTTCAGAAGTGGATGGCCAATCCTTCTTCCTAGTCTGTCTTAATGTGAATGTTCAGATTTAGAGAAGTATCAGAAAGACCGGCAAGTTAAAGGTATATCCCTTATTGTGCAGTTAACTTTAGTGTCAGTGTTGTCCCTGCCTTTCTCACACGTGTCTTTACCCACTTATTTCCCTGTTCCACCATCCACCAGGATACCCATCCACTTCTACCCCCTCCCTTCACATCTATCTCCCTTTGACCAGCCCTCCATCTAATAACTTATATATGAAGCTTCCTTGGCTTCTGTGATTCCAAACACATCAGCTGATGGTAGTTTTTTATGTTGGGATCAATGTCTCTGAAGTTTAGTCGTAATGTTTCCCGAGCAAAGGTGATGCATGGTCCAAAATTGGGAAGGGCATACGCCAGGGATGCATCCTATCTCCATACCTTTTCAACCTATATGCAGAACAGATTATCCGGGAGGCGGGGCTCTATGAGAAGAAATGTAGGGTCAAGATTGGGGGATGATTTATCAACAATCTGCGTTATGCAGATGACACAACCCTGCTTGCTGAAACTGAAGAGGACCTGAAGCGCCTGCTGCAGAGGGTCAAGGACTGCAGCCTCCAATATGGATTGAGGCTCAATGTCAAGATGACAAAGATTCTCACCACTGGACCAACTGGCAGCATCAGGATGGATGGTGAAGAGATTGAGATTGTACACAGCTTTTGTTTGCTTGGCTCCACAGTCAACAGTCTTGGCACCAGCAGCCAGAAAATTAAAAGGCACATTGCCATAGGAAAGTCTGCTGTTAGGGACCTCTCCAAAGTACTGAAGAGCAATGGTGTCTCTCTGGGGACTAAGGTGCATTTGATATAGGCCATGGTCTTCGCAATCACTTGTTATGCATCAGAGAGTTGGACAATGACCAAGGAGGATAGAAGGAGAATTGATGCCTTTGAGCTGTGGTGCTGGAGAAGAGTACTGAGAATACCATGGACTGCTAGGAAAACAAACAGATTTGTCCTGGAAAGGGTTAAACCGGGTGGCTCCTTGGAGGCAAGGATTCTGAGGCTCCATCTAACATACTTTGGACATGTTGTGAGGAGAGACTGGTCCTTGGAGAAGGACATCATGCTTGGGAGGGTGGAGGGACAGCGCAGGAGAGGAAGGCCCTCTATGAGGTGGATTGATTCAGTGACTGGGATAATTGGGATGGGAGTGTCAGAGACAGTGCAATTGGCACAGGACAGAGCAGAGTTTAGGGCTGTTGTACATAGGGTCGCTATGAGTCGCAAGCGACTCGACAGCACATAACAACAACAACAACAACCTTTGCATTGGTAGTGCAATTCCTTAATCCATAAGAGCTCCATTTGGATGATACTAAAAGAATAATCCTTTAAATAAGTGCTTAGTAAACTTTTCTAAGTATCATCATTCCTTTTGCTCATTCCTTCTTTGTCATGAAGGATAAGCACAGTAATGGTGAAAAATACTGTTTTTAGATGATGGTAAAATTTAGAGCAAAATCTAAAGAAATAAGTATATAGATGCAATTTAGATACTTTTCCCAATCTTCACTTCTTTTGTCTCATACAAACTCTAACTTTGTCCCCAGATTTGTGTAGAAGCTTCTTTGCAACTAACTCTGAACCCCTCCCTTGGAGGGCATGCCATGGGCTCTGGCACCTGAAATCATGTAGGTCACACCTCCAGAGCGTGTCTTAGTTTGAGTTTCCCCATGCTTCTCCCTTCTTCATCCTCTGCCTCCTACCTCACCATTTCTGCCTGTAGGAAAGGAAAGAGATTCAACACTGTTTCTGATTCTGGTTTCAAGGACTTGGCATCTACAGTGCACCCCACTGAAAAGTGCATCTAGTTAGAATAATTTCTGTGGAGCCTGAAGCAAAGTCGTTGTCACATAACCTTGATCCCAAGCACACCCTTGTGCCCTTAGCCTAATGGGAAAAAATCATAGCAAGAAAATAGGCCATGTGCAGTGATGCTTAGAGCTGCAGCTGTAGGTGTAGTTTGAGGTACCTGCCCAGCTCAAAGGTCTATAAAAAATTTGTACTTGAATGCTAACTTAAAGGCTAGTGGATTGCACCCATCCTAACATACTGTACAAGATATGTCTGGTCCTAATGTTAACCTAATGAAGATTACTGTCTGCTTGGGTTAAGATAAATAGCCAAGAAAAGCTTATAGATCAACTGTACTCTGTACATTGTGTCTTCATAAGTTGGATACAGGTAGTACTTAAAGGCATCTAACAACAAGCATCACCTGGGACAATCTCTCTTCTCTGGATACCCCTGTACCTGTACTTTCCATCTGCTGAAGGACTGGGAACTAGCTCCTACTTTTTCCTCAAGTCTCGGTCAACAGAGTGACAGCCAACCAGTAGACCAGAAGTCAGAGAGGTTCTCACTCAAGATGCCACATCAAGAGTCATTAAATCCCACTTCAAGATTAGGGTGAAAACCTCAATTGAAAGAATACGTGAGGAAGATGTGTGGGAAGATAAAAACTGAGTAATAAGTCAAGACTACTAAACTATTACTAACAGATGAAGGAGACATGCAGGAAAGGCTGTCAAGGGCCATAAAATTGCCAGAATGAGAAAGAAAAGGCAGTTGCCCCAGCCCCTGGGTCAGGGGAGTAACAGGATGGTAGTAAAAGCCCAGGGATTTTAACTGTTCCTCTTCTCTTCCTCACAACCAAAGAGTCTCAAAATAGCATTTTACTAAGAAACTAAAGCACTGGAAGCCAGTAAGAATCTCAGCATTAGGGAAGAGTTAAGTAAATGATGATGGCTTAGCATCCACTACAATGGAAGAACTGAATAAAGAAAGAAATGAAATTTGTGGCCAACTCTGAGAAGAATGGGAATCCCAGAACACTTGATCATGCTTATATGAAACCTATACTTGGGCCAGGAGGCAATAATCAGAACACAGCAAGGAAATACTGCATGGTTCAAAATCAGGAAAGGTGTATGGCAGGGATGTGACCTATCTCCATACCTTTTCAATCTATATGCAGAACAGATTATCCAGGAGGCTGGGCTCTATGACTAGAAACGTGGCATCAAGACTGGAAGAAGACTCATCAATAATATGCATTATGCAGATGACACTGCCCTGCTTGCTGAAACTGAGGGGACTTGAAGAGCTTGCTGAAGAAGGTCAAGGACCACAGTCTTCAATATAGATTGAAGCTTGACATCAAGAAAACAAAGATTCTCACCACTGGCCAATTGGTAGCATCATGATAGATAGTGAAGAGATTGAGATTGTTCAGTTTGCTTGGCTCCACAATCAACACTCTTGGCACCAGCAGCCCGGAAATTAAAAGACAGATTGCACTGGGAAAGTCTGCTGTCAGAGACCTCTTCAAAGTACTGAAGAACAACGATGTCAGTCTGAAGACTAAGGTGCGCCTGCTACAGGCCATGGTCTTTGTAATTACTTGCTATGCATCAGAGAGCTGGACAATGTCTAGGGATGATAGGAGAATTGATACCTTTGAGCTGTGGTGCTGGGAAAGAGCATTGAATATAACATGGACTGCTAGGAAAATAAACAGGTTCGCCCTAGAGAGAGTGAGACAAGGCTGCTCATTCGAGGCAAGAATTCTGAAGCTTCATCTGACATACTGTTGGCATGTTGCAAGAAGGGACCAGCCCTTGGAGAGGGACTTCATGCTTGGGAGGGTGGAGAGACAGCACAGGAGAGGAAAATCGTGGATGAGATAGATTGATTCTGTGACTGGGGAATGGGCTAGATGTGTCAGAGACAATAAAATTGGCACAGGATAAAGCAGGGTTTAGGGCTGTTTGTTGTACATAGGGTCGCTGAGTCGCAAGTGACTTGATGGTACATAACAACAACAACAACAACAACAATCTTAAGTTTTTAAAAAGTAGAACATACAATTCTGTAAACTGTTATTACATGCCATCAAGTAGGAAGAAATTCATAGCTGATCCTCCAGGTTTTTCAGAGGCTGTAAGTTGTACAAGTGGAGATTGTTCATCTTTATGCTTCAGAGCAGCTGGTGGATTCAAGCCACTTGCCTCTGGCTTGACAGTGCAACTCATCAACACTAAGTTATCAGGGATCCTTTCTATAACACTAGGCATATGTTAAAGAGTTGGATGGAAAGAAATAATGAACTCATTACTCGGTACCAATCATGCTTCAGGACTTACTCTCACAGCCTAAAGGGTAAACATTGTTCCATGTATTTTCCTAGATGATACTGGCAAGAGTGAGATGGTTTCCCCAAGGTGGTATAGCTGCTGACACCACCAGAATGGAGGCTGGACAAAGACACTACAGAGAAGGAGACTGGCTCATGAGCCTGGTTCATTTCCCCAGTAATTTTGCAAGGGGGCAAGGGCATTATGAAGTATGGACCTGTACCTGTCTCAGACCAGTCCATCTCATAAGCTTGTTAGCTGCTCAGTGACCATCCACTGCTAGATGGTCAAGTCCACCTTCACAGTTTTCTGAAGTTTTCCAGAATTGTGCAAGCGTTTCAATATAAATTTTTATAAACATAAGGTAAAAGCAGCTATTCTTAGACTTTCCAAGCTCAGAACACCTGACCCAAGAGGAAATAATTTATTGATGGTTTCTTGTTTCTTTTTCTTTTATTCATTCACTGTTGCACATTTTCTTCCCTCTCCCAACCCCCTCCCTCCTCCAGCCCACCCGGCAACACACCCCGTGTTCCAGATTGTTCCCATACATATAATACAGGTCAGTTTCTGACCGCACATCTCCGACCCCTTTCTTTAGCTCCATCCCTGTCCACCACTTCTTTCTGAGATATGTTTACCTTCTCTCTGCCGCAGTGTCCCCTCCCCAAGGTGAGGACTGAGATTGGTCAGTTACCTGGCAGGCCTCTGGCTGATGAGAGAATTTCTTGGCGATTCGGCCAGTCCTGTGGTGTCCATGGTGATTGCTTGCTGCACTTCTGGAGATGTCTCCCCGCATGGTGAGAGGGTCCTAGGAAATTATATATGCAGTGAGCTAAATTGATTTCAAGCTCATCCACCTCTTGGACACACTTGAGAATGAGGTGGCCAGATGCTCTGCTTAATGAGGAAAGCTGTCGCTGCTTATTCTCACTCTCCCTTCAGTTTGACATACCCAGGATTTTGAATGTATGTGGTCTTTCTTCCAGGGTCAGCCTTCCTGGGGAAGGCAGCACACATTGAGCTACTGCTATGAGCAGGTGAGAGGGAGCAATCCAAGAGCCAATGTGCATGATCCTCAGCACAGGACAGGTGGGAGTAGCATTCGGTGCCTGCCATCTCAGCCACACCAAGGGCTTTCACAGAAGGATTCTGGAACAAGGATTCTGCTACAAGCAAACTGTGGCTTACTGAAATCCTATCTTCTAAAGACAGCTCATCCTCTCTGTGTGGTGCAAATGGTAAATCACTCAGGGCTAACTGAAACGCCTACTTGCAGGGCTTCAGAAGAAAGGCCTGGAAAGACCAAGCCCCCAAATCCAGCCATAGAAAACTCTAGGGAGCATGGTTCTGCTCTGATACACATAAGTCAAGGTTGACTCAGCAACAAAAGCTATTCAGTGGTCGGGGTGCTTGTCCTTAGCCTTCTTGGAAACTAACTGGTTAACAAGAAAATCCAGAATACTGCATAGACGTGGCCTCACCCTCCAAACATACTGTGTACTTTCTGTAGGGCATTTTCAAATGACAATCTACTTCCACTGTGTCTTTGTGAAGTCCTCATCTCTGTCCTCTGCAACACTGGGGTGACTCAGCCGTGTAGTTCAGGGGCATAGAAAGCATGAGTGTACACAGACCCACAGGAAGTCCTGGTGGCCTAGTTCACAGGGAGTTGCATCACTAACCTAGAGGTTGCACCTCTTTGGAGGTTCCTACCCTCCAGTATCCCCAACACAGAAAAATGGGCAATTTCCTTACATGCGACTCACAGCCTCCGAAACCCAATGAAGCTATGAGACAGTTTGATTCGACAGAAACAAGATAGATAAAACTATACACAACAGCATTGACTATGACCACTGGGCATGTTACCACAGTCTGGCTTTTGTAGAATTGCCCACAAGATGAAAAAGTTTTGGGGAACCTTTTTCTTTGAAATCCTCTCAAAATCCTCCTGCTATATTCTCAACTCGATTAAAAGCCATCCAGGCATTGGCCTTTAGGGGTTTGCATTTCATTCTGTGAGTCTTGAGGCTCTGAGGCAGGACAAATTAATTCTATCATGTGACCGATTCCAACCTAATCAGCCTTCTTAACAAGGAGGTAACCTGGTTTAGACAGGAGACAAGAATTAATGTCAGGAAAAGGGCTCCATCTCTGTGGTGAATAATTAGAAGTTAGACCTGAGTCCCAGAGCTTAGGGAAATCTCAACAATTAACTGGTCCAGCCATGAGGTGCTGCTGTCTCCTTTTTTATGATATCCCTTGCTGTAGCTGCTATAGCCTGCCTCCCAAACTCATTGCATGTCCCTGGGCCATTCTGTACCTCTCTTGCTGCAGGAGCACACTGCCTCCCCTGTCCCATTCCAGCCCATCTTTGGACAGCTCTGACAGCTAGCAGGCTCTTCCTTGAGCTCCCCATGTCAAAATTCTTTTTCTGTTGGAACCATGCAGAATGATGCCATGCCACATTCTCCAGATGTATCTCAGCAAAACCAGACCACAATGATAAATCAAGTCACACATATTGTTTTGTTTCCTATTGCATATAGAAAAACAAATATATCTTAGAGAAAGTGTAACCAGACTGCTCCTTGGATGCAAGAATGGTGAAGCTTCATCTCACGTATTTTGGACATATTGTTGAGAAAGGCTCTTCCTTAGAAAAGGACGTCATGCTTGGAAAGGTGGTGGGTCAGTAATGGAGATCCTGAATGAGATGGATTGACACAGTATCTGTACCAATGGGCTCAAGTATGTCAGGGATAACAAGAATGACATGGGATGGGACACGATTCAGATCTATTGTTCATAGGATCGCTATGAGTTGTACTCGCCTGCTAACCCTTAACAACTAACAACTATAACAGTGCATATAAAAATTATGCTGACAAATTATGTTGCATTAAGCATGCAACAGTATTTTGAAAAGGTGCAAGGATTACCAAAACATAACAGACACAAAGGGAACACATGCTTTTGAAAACTTGCAAAAACAAACAAACAAAAACTGGCACCAGTCAACTTGCTCAATATTGTATCTTACAGGCATTTGGTTTGTAAACAATGAAATATCCACAGAGTAAATTAAAGTGAGACTCAGTAAGGATATGGGTGCCCCTTCATGACAGATTTCAGTGACTCGACAACAGTCACACCCCTGCTGCTTCTGTTTTTCTGGTATGAAAACTCCCAGTTTGCCTAGCCAGTGTCCTTTGGTTCAAATCTTTTAACTGTGTGAGCATTCTGTGAACAGGCTGTTATCTCCCTGCCTGCTTAGACAAGAACTAGAAATATATCATAAAAATGTTTGTCGGTTTGTGCATTTATAGCGGTTCGATTGCCATCTTGTTTTGTATTGTCAAGTTGGAAGCTACTCCAGTGGGAATAAGCTGACCCTCCAATGGGTTTTCAGAGGCAGTAAATCATACAACAGAAGACTGTCCATCTTTGTCCTATGGGGCAGCTGGTGGATTCGAACCATGTACCTTTGAGATTGCAGCACAGTGCCTTAACCACTATGAGGCAGAACTCTTAAAACCTAAGCTACAAGGTAGAAGTCCCTATTTTATGCATGTGCATAAATCTTTCTTTAGGACTCAGTATGGCAAGTCACTTGATGCTTTGAGACTTGATATTTGGTAGCCTTTGGTTAGTCTTTTCTCCCAAATCCTGTACATTTACTAACTCAACACACAAACCACAGACTGTATATTGACTTCTTTCTGTGGGTTAGGCACATACATTTTATTATTTAACCCACACAAGAATCTAATAAGGGAGGCTCAGGGAAGTTAAGTCATTCATCACCTATTAGCTACTTGAACTTTGGGTTGCTCACTTACCTTCTCTAAATTTTCTAATCCTTACAAGGGATTATTTTAAAGGGGGGTGGTTGGATGTATCTTGATTTAAATATTACCTGAATATTCAAGTTTGGAAGAGTATGCTTTGTTGTGAGAATGCTCTTGTGAGATATTGTTGGTAGCAACTACAACTCACAACAACCCTATGAAGAACAGATCTGAGCCTTGTCTTGTCGTGCACCATCCTCACAGTCTGTCATTCTCAAGCCCATTGCTGCAGTCACTGTGTCAGCCCATCTCACTGAGGATCTTCCTCTCTTTTCTGACCCTCCACCTTTCCCAGCATGATGTCTTTCTCCAAGAACTGTTTCCTCCCAAGAACATGGTCAAAGTAAGTGAAACAAAATTTTACCATTGTTGCCTCTAAGGAACAACTTCGGTTACACTTCCATCAAAACAGATGTGTTTGTTCTTTCAGTAATCCAAAGGATATTCAGTATTCATTACCAACACCACAATTCAAAGGCATCGATTCTTTCATCTTCCTTATCCGTTGTTAAACTTTCTGATGTACAGGTGTCTATTGAAAAGACCCCATAATCTTGGATCAGGCATGGCTTAGTATTTAAACTGACATCCTTGTTCTTTAGCACTTTAGAACTGTCCTTTGACTTCCCCAATGCAACATGTCTCTTGATTTCCTGACTGCTACTACCATGGATGGATGCTGATTGTGGATCCAAGTAAAATGAAATCATTGCCACCTTCAATCTTTATCTATCATGATGTTGCCTATTGGTCCAGGAGTTAGGACACTTGTTTTCTTAATGTGAAGTATAACTCACAATAAGGCTTTTATACTTCCAAAGACCCCAAAGAATCTTTTGTTTTTTCCTCAATGCACTTGTTCCTCAATTCTGAAATTTTACCATTGCAATGTTTAAAGGGAGCCTTATCCTCGTTAAAGGCCTGCATGGCTTTGTTATTTTTCACTCACCTTTCCATCTCCCCCAAGACTGATAAGCTGGAAAGCACTAATTTTTTTTGTCTTGCTGGATTTGCCTACTCTAGATATTTCCTATTAAGTTGTTGTTGGTTGCCATTGAGTTGACTATCACTCATAACGATGCTGTGGACAACATTAGGAACCTTGCCCTACACTGTGCCATCATCAAGATCTCCACCATCCTCAAGATCACTGCTGTGTTTGCTATTCCAATCTACCTCACAGAGGGTCTTCTTTTCCTTTGTTGACTCTCTGCCTTTCCCAACATAACATGGCTTTTCCAAGGACTGGGCTCTCCTGACAAGGATGTGAGATACTTGTCTTCTACTTTGAGTGTCTTTCTCTTTAAAGGTACATAGTAGGATCATATATGTATCATTTGTGTCTGACCTAAAGTAATGTTTTTAAAGTTCATCCATGATGTGGTGTATATCATTACTTCTTTTTATAGCTGAAGAACACTCCATTGCATGTATATATCGCCTACATTCATTCATTTGCTTAGGAGGTGGGTCCTTTTCCCCCTCTTTTAACCTTTGGGCTTTTATGAATAGTGGTGCTACAATTAACATGGATATATACTACACTTTGATGTATTTTTAATATAAAACCAAATTAGTTACTCTTCAGAATAACTAAGTTGATCAGGTAGATAAATTTGATAGGAAAGGGAAGCGGGAAGACAGGGAGGAACTGATTCTCTGGGATGGCACTGAGAAGCCATAAGGGGAAGCAGAAGAAACTTTGCCTAGTCAACACAGAGGAAGAAAAGTAAGAGAAAGTGGGGGTTAGACCTTGTCCTGTCCATAGCCGCTGCGTGGCCTGGAACAATGACTGGATGAGGCCTTGTTGCTCTTAGTTGTCATCAAGTTGTTCTGACACATGACAATCTTTTTTGTTTAAATTTAATTTTATACTAGTTTACATATGAAATTAATAAAGTTCTTATCCATTGTTTTTCACACTGGATCTTTCTCTTTTCCTTTACCAATCCTTCCC